GAGACTAGATGGTAGTCTACCCCTTGGCTATGACACCATCGTTCAACTATGAAACAGCTCAATTAGACCTAGCAACACAATCAGGTGGAGAGATAAACCCTGAATAATCTCCGCCTGCCCTGCAGTGATACAGAGCTGCTGCCACGCCGTACAAGACGCCCTGCCACGTATGTCAGATCTTTCAGCTGTAAATATTAGGGCTGCATCGTATTGACTATGAGGCGAATATGATAACTGTCATGAATATTAGGTGACGATTACGCATATTGAGTAAAAAATGCACAAACCAGCATTCGAAATAGCTTCCAAACTTTGCTATCCAGTTGGGATAGCTTTGCCTGATAGTTACTAGCCCATAAAATAATTCACTAGCCCGAAATTAGAATGTAGAAACTAAGCAAAAGATGACAAAAAAGGTAAAATATCATGAAAATAAGAAAAGATATGTCTGAATTGCTGAAATATATTCAAAAATGATCCCATGAAAATTCACATGTCAGTCTGGCCTGACTGTGTAGATTTACTGGCCTGACTGGATTTTTACTAGCCACGGCCCGTGTCTTTTTCATACCCTGGCACTAACAAGTCAGCAATTTATGTGTTATTCAGTACATTCAGTAACATAAAAAATGTTTATTTAAAGTTTTGACATCATTGACAGTTAATTTATCATGACAATAACCAGTGACCACAGTACTATCTAATTGAAAATATAAGAGTGTTGGCTATTATCCCTCCTGGACTGGATACATTCCATTTTGGATATCTTGTTCTAAATAACACCCTAACTCAAGTAGAAACACTCCTTTTGAAAATTCATAAATAATTGATTTTAGTGATCATGAATAATGAACAGAATAAATGAAATGATAAGGTCCGATTCACCGAATATGCGAGTAAATCAAAGGAGCCTCAGTAAATATGTGTCTAAATAATACAATGCCCAACAAAAACAACTTAGAACTTAAAAGGTAAATAATCTTGTCTAGTGATGTTTAATTGCAAATTTGACGTCTCTACTGACAAAGTCGTCTTCTGTTGTTTGTTCACGTGAAGTGATACGATGTTGTTTTCTTACCCCTGAAAAAAAGTTTGACGAAAGCGTAACCCATGGATAAGACGACCCCCTTCTACAGACTGCTTTTTTTGGTCCTCAAAATCGGCTTATAGACGGTCATATACGGTATGTGCCTTCAGTCCATGAACATTAGAAGCATGTCATTCATATAGTCATGATTTAGCTTAAATACTGCCGATGTGACTTCAAATATCAACTCACTCATTCATATGGTAAACTTATATATACTATTTAACGACTTCTAAATTACAATAATTTCAACCTGCAACCATAGCAACAAGTTTTTAAAAATTGAGAATCATTATATTAATAATTCACCTACCATCAGCAACTGAAAACCTTTTCGAAATGAAATGTGAAAAGTAGTTTTGTATTGACTGACCTTCGCCTCTAAGGTTGCCATCATTGGTGGACAGCTGGTTTTACAATATTGAGATCTTGGTGTAAGTCAGACTGTCATCTTGCTTTAAATACTTTCAAAAACACAAAACAAATTTTCTGAATATCGGAATCAGCAGTCATTTTTCTGTATGTTTCATTTTTGATGATTGTTTTATTAAATAGTGTTAAATGGTAAGTTTTTTAGTTGCATACATGTTCTGACCTCCACTTGTCCTTAACTCACCCTATCCTATTTTAACACTGCCCCCTGCCTGCCTCCTCCAAACCCTTCCCCAATAACAAATATAATAGTATAGACACTACAAAAGTGAGTGAGTGAGTGAGAGTGAGTTTGCCACTTTTAGCAATATTCCATTGCAGGGAACACCAGAAATGGGCTTCACACATTGTACTCATGTGGGGAATCGAACCCGGGTCTTTAGCATGAAGAGCAAACGCTTTAACCACTAGGCTACCCCACCGCTCCAAGATACCAAAGTGACACTGACAGTGATGATAAGAATGATAATGATTATGCTGTAGCTGAAACCAAGGTTGCTCCTGATGCTGCTGCTGCTGCTGCTGATGGTAATGCTGATACTTATAATACCAAACACTACTTGTGATGACAACAATAATTACAACATCCCCCCTCTGTGGAAAATGATTTCCACACATCCCACTTCCAGGTACCCATTATACAACTGGAGGGGTAGCCTTGTGGTTAAAGCGTTCACTCACCACACAGAAGAACCGGGTTTGATTCCCCACATGGGTACACTGTGTGAAGCCCATGTCTGGTGTCCCCCGCCGCGATATTGCGGAAATATTGCTAAAAGAGACGTAAAGACATACTCACTCACTCACTCACTCATACAACTGGAGAGACTAATATACTGCAAGTACAATACTACTGCAGCAAGTTGAAGACTTGAAACAAAATTGAAAACTGAAGGAGACATATACTTCCTTAACTTGTTTTGAACTGTATATAAAAAAACAGCCATAAATTTGGTCATCTTTTTACTTTCTTCATTGATTTTGGCAAGAATTGTTCCACGCGGCATGCCAGTCTTGTTCATACCGTGTTGCGACAGCTTGATTTAATATGAAAGATGAGCAAACATAGGATCATTCTTAAACATAATTAAATCTCTGGCTGACATTTATGATGAAATATTAGCATGAGCTCAATTAATCATCAATAGACAACCTGAACGTTGACCCCAAAATTTACTGAAAAAATTGAAATTGACAAGAAGACTTATCCTTCACATTTATCACGAGGGGAAAAAGAAGCATTTAGCTAAAAATGACAGACCTACAATGCTCTTTACACGAAGCTGACACAATTTAATGTTTATAGTGGCACAGGATAGTTAGTTCATGGGCTTCCCTGTTGGGTTCCGATATAATGCCTGCAGAATATTTCAGGGATGAACGGTTTAATTTCCTGGGGAGTTTGGGGGTTTGGTAGAAGGGTTTGAGAGAGAATACCATGCTGTCACTTCTTTAAGTTATTTAACGATATTTTTTGCATGATGAAATTAAAAAAATGTTAAGACATATTTTTAATGACATGCAGTGAATACTTTTAGGAAAAATGGTATTTGCATGGCAATTAATTATTTTTTTCAATAAAATTCATGCCTTATGTCTTGAAAATCTGTACATAAATATGACGATAAAACTGAGTACTATGTTAAACTTCAATATTTAAAACACAAATGGTCTCCTGAATTCTTAGGTAACAAAGTTGATAATAGCTTTTAGTTGCCAACCTGAAAATTATTTTTCAATGAAATTAACTATTTATGTTCTGAAAATGTCTACATGATTATGATGAAAGAACTGTGTACTATGTTTAGGTTTGACATTTTTTTTAAAATGGTCTCCTGAATTCTCAGGTAACAAAGTTCAGAATAGTTTTTACTTTGGAATTAGGATCATCAATCTTGTCATGGTGGTTTGAAAAGAAATGACAAACCAGTCTGACATTTTGAGAAAAAAATACCACCTGGTGATATTTTCACAAAAATATAAACCGACATTTTTCTTTATAAATGCCCAAAACAAGAAACCTTAAGACGAATCAAACTTGCATCAAAGATCTATTCCATTTCAAAGTGTCGGATGAGTCATCTAATAAGAACATCCCCCAAAGACAATGTGACAGCTAAACCCCGAAACAAACGTGGTTGAAATTGACACGACAGGCGTACATTGCATCACTATAGACGTTCCTGTAGCCTTGTGACACAGAAGGAAATCCACACTTTGAGATATGCTCTACAGGTCATGTGACCGACCGTGTGGATCACCGTTGTAGGTGATGTAGGGGGTTAGGACAGAGAGGATGCTGCCCCGAGGAGGATGAAACGGGTTCTGATGGATGAAGGGGGTTGGTGTCACATCATGGTTTGAGTCTAAGCCGGTGTTTTTTAAAAGAGATTTCAGATGAAAGAGAAAATGCGAAACATGTCAGCTGTTTGTGGGCTGGTGGTTACGTGTAATGTACAAGTACATTGTACTTCTAACGACACGCCGGTGGTTCTGTGGGTATTCAAGAGGGTTTTGTCCTTTTATAATTATTTGATGTGTCTGGATTTTATCTAATGATACACATGGGGCATGGAGTGATAGAAGTGGAAAGGATGAAAAAATAGTGATAGAGAAATAAATATGAATTGAAAGAGATAGTCAAAGATTGGTTGGTTTGTTGTTTAACGCCGCACTCAGCAATATTCCAGCTATATGGCAGCAGTCCGTAAATAATCAAGTCTGGACCAGACAATACAGTGATCAACATGGTGAGCACTGATCTATGCAGTTGGGATATGATGACATGTGTCAACCAAGTCAGCGAGCCTGACATCCGATCCCGTTAGTTGCCTCTTACGACAAGCATGGGTTACTGAAGATCAATTCTACCCTGGATGCTCACTGGGTCAGATAGTGAAAGAAGAGAAGGGCTGTAATGTTGAAAATAAATAGGGAATACTTGGGGAGGAGAGGGTGGGTTTTCCCGGGATCTTGGGTAAACAAGAATGCAACAGTATCGAGATAATGGGTGGGTGGGGCTAGTTTGGAGCACAGCATGGGGTGGGTGTGTCAAGATGGTGGTGTGTTTGGGGAGGATGGGGCACAGGAGGGAGGGGCAAACATGGTTTAGCATCGGGCACATGATGGAAGGTGGGTGGTGCAGACTGTGGGGGGTAGTGACTGGGCACAGCAGAGATAGATGTGGGTGAGTCTGGGTGTCTGAGATATAAACGACAGGTCTGACAATCTTACAATCTCACACAATCCTCCAAACATCAGGACAACGAGTACGTCAATTAATCAAATCATCACCAATTCACAACACCACAATCAGCAATAACCTCAGTGATAATCCCCAGAGTAAAAACCTATCCTCCATTCACAACAGATAATAAAATCACAATTCCAAATTTTTACATCCACATTCCACCGGCCCATGAAGTAAACGTCAATACATCCTAAAAATAAACCCATAAACAAGAAACAAAACAAACATTACCTCTAGAGAGTGACAGTCAGATGAATAACTCCATGTGGTAAACGCTCCTAACAGCTCCACTCTACCACTACACAATGAACCAGAAATCCATGCATGGTCACAATCCGTTATAACCCATCTCCTGAAGGCTGCAAGGCGTTATGTGATAAATCCACAGCGCCCCGGCTGTTATAAGCTATCTCCCCCAGGTAGGGACGTCGTTAAGAGCAATATCTACCAATACAAGTTGCTATCGTAACCTCGACGCCAGCTTGGCATAAGCACTACCCCTAGGTGATAGTGGTAAGGCCTTATCAGCTGGTATTGTTTTATCAAGCCGGGATCACACTCTCCATTACTCTCCAGGCATTTGCTAGCGGGGAGCTTTAAGTGGAAATGAACCTGAAAGTGAAATGCGCGAGTGAAATGTACCTATTAAGACCAACCAGCTGATCGCAATGTCATTTGATTCATGCTTGCCCCAAGGCAGTCATACTTCTAGACAACTGCAATAGAGATGTCAGGGTATCTCAGACAACAGCTAAATACTCTGCTTATAACATGCTTGGGATAAAATGCAGTTGTTGTTAATTTGGGGTTTATTAATTATTTACACAAAAACTGTAACATTATTCTTCAGACATTGATTTTTCTAACAAGAATCACAGTGGTTCATTGTCTGTAATGAAGAAATCAAGCATAGATAATTTTTTCATGTTTTTTTTTAATGCTTAAGGCCAGACCAATTTTATTTCTTGTTTTACGGATCCACCAATCATATTTTCTCAAGAATAAGAAATAAAATAGAAATTATTTTTCCCGCTCAAAAAATAAAATTCTCATGTTTTTATTGGCCAAACTAGTAAGCTCACAAAAAATATTTTTTGATTTTGTTTTGCCCCATATACACTTCATAAATTGCCAAAAACAAAATACTTTAGCATTTAAAAGGAAAATTATTTTGACTAGTGATTTTTATGTTTTTATTTTTTTCCCTCCTGACTTTAGGTTTTCTGATTACAAAAATCCGTAAAACAAGAAATATGATTGGTCTGGCCTTTAATCATGAATAAAAAATATTTCAGTGCAGAATCCGTTTTAAGTGAATCAAATGATTTCAACAAATTCTTCCATTGTGTGAGAAACTTTGTAGAAAACTGAACGTGTTTAACATAAACGATAACATAAATTGACAGTTTTAAAAACAGACTTTAAACTGCTGAGAAAACGAACTGTGATTTCCTAACCAATCAATTCTGACACTCGCAGTTATTAATTTTCAAATGTAAAATTTAACATCAGTGCCAGTTGTTTATAAGAACACATGAAAATAATTTTATTATAAATCTGTTGTCAGTATTGCAAATGTTTTGAATTTCAAATGCAACTCTTCTGGCTCCTAAAATGAAGGCCATGATGCGTCACGTTAACAGGCTATTGACGTGACGGACATGCAATGCTGAAACAGACATGCTATTGACGAGACGGACATTGCAGAAATAACCACGAGATAATGACACAACATACATAAAGCTGAAATGCACATGCAACACACACCCTGAAGGTCAACACTGTAATTACGATGCCATATCAACCATAATCTGAAATTATCAGCATCACTAATGGATCTAATTAGGCTGTATCGCACAGACTGGGCCAACAGTGATTTAAAGTCCGATTAGTTTCCATGACAATGAAGGACCACAGGGCTATGAAAAGCCCCTGAATACAATACGAAGAACAGTCCCTCGCAGCACGTGTCAAATTGGGGTATTTATGACAGTGTTAATGACAAAGTGACACAGGGCACCTAGTACTGCATACACACTGCAACTGAACACTTGACTTTCTAATGGCTCTTAATAACTTTTAATATATTTCAGAGCCAAAAATACAACCAAAGCATTCCCAAGAATTAAATTTAGGTGAGTGAGTTTAGTTTTATGCCGCTTTTAGCAATATTCCAGCAATATCATGGCAGGGGACACCAGAAATGGGCTTCACGCATTGTACCCATCTGGGGAATCGAACCTGGGTCTTCAGCGTGACAAGCGTATGCTTTAACCACAGCAGCTATTAAAGTTAAGGCCTTTTTAAGGGAACAGTAAAACACATATAACCCATGAGTAGTTGAAAAGACACCAGGTTGGTCAAATGGGGAACCAAACATCAGAGGCAAATAACTCCTAGCTACATTGAGGCACTGGGAGAGTTTTGTGATGGAGATCAATTAATTATGTTGCTTTTACAAGTATTTCAGGGTTTATGGGGGTAGCCCAGTGGTTAAAACGTTCACTCATCACAAACAGACAGACAGAAATATTTTATTAAAGTGTCACGTGATATGTTACAGGTAAAACAATATTTCATATGTCTAGATAACACATATCACCCAGCCATAACATTAGCTTACGAGACACTACTAAAATAATATAACTAAAAAAATGTACAATATACAATCTGGACGATCGTATTCATGACATACATAAAACAGTACATTGGTAAAATATATTAAGAATGTAACTGTCTTCTACGGAACATAGACCCAGGTTCGATTTCAAACATGGTTACAATGCATGAAACCAATTTCTGATGTCCCCCGCTGTGATATTCCTGGAATATTGCTAAACGCAGTGTAAACCTATACACACTCTCTCACTTTAAAGTATTCCAAGTGTCACATGATGCACGGTTACCACGACAATACATCCATTTTTTAAATGACCCATATTAAATTTCCAGCAAAAGATTAAGGTTCAATTTTCATATCGTATGGTTTACTAACTGCTGCTAAATGACAGTAATGAGAAATAAAAGAGCATACTTTGTGTAACTCAATACTTTAATTATCTTTTGGGCATAAGATTACAAGTATCTGCAGTTTTATATTGAAATTACCTACTGTTTCCTTATAAAATACACGTTTACTATTTATAAAGTTATATATACTGGTCAAAATAAGTTAGGGATATTGGTATTGTTATCATTGATATTTTATCAGTGTGTCAATGAATAAATAGATAATTATTCATAATTTCAAAATGTACATATATCCCTAACTATTTTTGTCCAGTATACATATGTATAACACTAAAAGTGTCTAGGATCACCCAGTTCTATCATATTACTATAGTTAATATGTCTTGCACTGACAGATTAACACTGATTTTTCCCTCTGCATTGACAGGAGTCTAACTATACATGTATTTGATAAAGTATTTTTTAAATGGCTAACATGTTGATTTTGGTCTGACTTTGGAAATGTATCTTTTAATATCTCAGATCAATCAAAAAGAAACTTTCAGACAAAAAACAAAAATTGAAACCATTCTTCTATTATTTCAACTGTAGTGTTTGGCTCCAGTCAGTCAAAGACATAAACCGAAGGTTTCCCTGTTTTTCGCAGTGGAATAGTCAGCGGCATGGCAATATTATATCAATCAATGTCATTGGTCGGAACCACGTGATAGGAACATACTTGAGACATGTTTATTTTAACGCCACTAGCAACACCTTGGGACCAGCTGATCACATGGTCTGGCAGCTGATCACATGATCCGGCAGCCGATGGCCTATTAGTGCCGAAGACTTCCGAGACAGATTACCTCTTCTCTTGTATAATTCACAGCCAGCATAATCTACAAGGAATATGTTACAATCTTCCATGTCAGTGTGGATGATTGTTATTGACAAACTTAGTCATCTTGGCTGTGCACGTGATACCGGAAATATGTTAAGGACCGTTGAATAAATTTAGGAATATATTCAGCTTGTCATATACTGTTTTCATGACTATGTTTGGCTGGCTGGTTGGTTTGTTGTTGAACGCCACACTCAACAATATTCCAATATGGCGGCTAATCACTATGTCGACATAATGGCTATTCATTTCCTCATGCATGGCGAAATAATATATTCTGGTTTGTGCTCCATGCATATTCGGAATTCAGCAGAATATATCTTGGTGTATATTTCAATGTATATTTCAATATTGCATATTTAAGTTCTGTGTACATTTCAGCAAATTGTCAGAACACATTTCCATTATCAGTGTTCATTTCATTTAAACACATTTCTGTGTTCATTTCACCAAATATGTCAGAACACATTTCCACATTATCAGTGTTCACTTCAGCAAATATTTCAGCACAGATTTAGTCATTTTACCTGGGTATCTTTTAGTTTAAAGTCACATTTTAATGTCAAAATTCTTCAATAGATGAATTTCCTTAATCCAAAGCTTAATCCTTACTCTAAGCGTCCCTCCTTTCTTCAGAGGGGTGGTGGGGTAGCCTAGTGGTTAAAGCATTCACTCAACATGCTGAAGGCCCAGGTTCGATTCCCCACATGGGTACAATGTGTGAAGCCCATTTCTGGTGTCCCTGGCTGTGATATTGCTGGAATATTGCTAAAAGTGGCGTAAAACCAAACTCACTCACTCTTTTCCTCCGAAAAACACCAGTTATAAAAGTCCCACTACCTTACCCCTACCCCCAACTGAACTAATCAATCTGACCACATCTATTTAACCCAGAAAGGGTCAAACGTATATCTTATAACAGAACTCAGTAACAACAAAACACAGAAATTTAAAAATCAATCGTGACATTATTCCTACCTAAATTAACAATTAGTCTTCTACAAAATTAAAATAAAATATAAAACACATTCTAAAATGTTTTAGTTTCAATTGACGCTAAGACACTATTTCCAACCCAGATCTTCACAGGTGGTTCTGACAGAAACAAAATAATTCTAAATTGAAAAGGGCCCTAGTGAGATTCTATCAGAATTATATATTCTAAGAAACATCAGAATTATGTATTTTCAGACACTAAGCATTTGTCTCCATCAATAGGAACAATAGATTAACTCTTTATCTAAAAAAATATGTAATTTTGATATAAACCAATACTTATTTAGATTGACAAGGAACCCTAGTGAGCTCTAAGATTTAGAGATTCCTGAACCAGAGTGAGTGAGTGAGTTTAGGTTTACGTCGCTTTTAGCAATATTCCAGCAACATCACGGCGGGGGACACCAGAAATGGGCTTCACACATTGTGCCCATGTGGGGAATCGAACCTCGGTCTTCGGTGTGACGAGCGGACGCCCTAACCACCAGTAGGCTACCCCCACCCACCCCTGAACTAGAGGAAATCTAGACTTGCTTCACTTAGGTAGCCCAGTGAGCTCTGAGATTCAAAACACGAACCTGACGAAATCTAGACTTGCTTCACTGAGAGGATATGCATTAGACTGACTGACTGACTGAGGTTGGTTTTACGCCGCTTTTAGCAATATTCCAGCAATATCACGGCGGGGGACACCAGAAATGGGCTTCACTCATTGTACCCATGTGGGGATTCGAACCCGGGTCTTCAGCGTGACGAGCCAATGCTTTAACCACTAGACCACCCCAACGCCCGGATATGCATTAG